AAGAACTTGCTTTGATTTCTCTTCCGAATTCTATTTCCATTCTTCACAAAATCTCCATGCAATTGTCATCAGAATTTTTAAAAGACAAGTGACACTGTCTTCAACCAGAGGTTGCACAGACTGAAAACTTTACACTAGAAAACTGACAACACACCACACCCAATAGACCAGTAAGGAAATTTTCAGATTGCGAAAAGTTCCACTGGCTGGAGCGGGAATCGAACTTTCACTTCGTGGCACACACAATACGCCTGAAGGACGGGTGACACTGCACGACCACGAAGCTTATAATTCTAAAGAAATTCAGACTGCTTTACATACTGGAGGTACTTTAAAAAAATGCTAAAAATTATCAGATGCCTTTCAAATTTTCCTTATGAATTATAATTGCCTCATCCTCATCCTCATCCGCAGGATAATTATCCTCAAAAATCTAACAAACATACTTCAAAGTCCTAGTGGTTGTCTAGATTCAAATGCCTTGCTAATTTTCCAAGGCTGAATTTATTGTTTTCAATTCTGAACAGTTTTCGATTTCTTTAAATTAAAAAATTACAAAAATTCCTTTATATTGAAATTTTGATTTTTTTTTAAATATATAAAATATATAAAAATTCCAATTAAACAAACATTCAGGCCCACTATTTCATAAAAGTTTGAGGATTTTTTCAGCGAATAATATTTAGAAAATGGCTCCATGTTCATGATTCTGCAACCCATTAACATGCAAACATGTTGTAACAATTGCATGTACGATGTTGTAATAATTTCGAACGTTGATGGCCTTTAATAATTAAAGAAGCAGTTTTTATTTTTTGATTAGAGTGTAAATCCAAGCAACATGTTTGAAAAATCTGGGAAAATCTGGAACATATTTTAAAAATCTGGAAATATACGTGATCTGTCTGTGTATCTGGCTGGATGACCGAAAATCTGGAAAATCCAGATCAATCTGGAATACTGGCAACGCTGCTGGTGAATGTCGTCTTCGGTGGTGATCCATCACCGATCTGGTCGGTCATCGGGAACCGACAATCACGAGACTCATCTGTGCTCGTTTTGAAGCAGTTGGTTGCTGCTTTGCTTGCTTATGTGAGTGAGCCCTATAGCTCCGTTTAATTTGGCCAGCTTTGTTTGTAACTCACACAGTCGCGCCTGCCGAGACGAACTTAGAATGCGTAGGAATTGTTTTCATTATCTTCTGTCGTTTCGCTTTTTCTCATCATCGTACTGCAGACGTCTTCACTGTTTTCGTTGTGCTTTTCATCATCAACAGCGAGTGTTACGTTTTGCCTGTGAGCAGCGACCATTACTGCTGATTGTTATTTGCCATGGCTCTACAATTCGGTTGATGCGTTGACGAGTGTCGAGTGAGTGTCATGATATTTTGCATATCTGCCGGAAAGTTTTTGATCCCTTCCGCAAGAACTGAAACACTCCGTAAAGGATTTAATCACATAGGAATGCACTGAATCATTTCGGATACTATTGAATCACTTCAAAAAATTTTAGATTCACTTTGTAAAGTACTGTAAATAAATTTTATCGGCTTTCAGTCTTTTAGCAAGTAAAACGATGTTTTTCCTCTACTCCCAACGTTTCAATGGTATATTCCTTGGTCTGCCTAAACAGAGAGCCGATCGTGTACTCGTTTCTTGTTGCTAGACTGATGTTTGGAAAATCAGTTTTGAGCGCCTTCGCCAATCGGCCCGACAAGTTGTTTACCTGGACCATTGGTTTATAAATAGATGACATCCTGCTGCTGATCCAGGTTTTCCCTTCTGTCCCTTTCAAAGCATTGATTGATCAGCCGGTGTCGGAGCGCGGCCGGATAGTGGTTGATCTTAAGATGTTGGTCTATTATGCTGTTCAGCGATGACGGTGATAGGTTTGTACTGAGTGTTCGAACCCGACGAACGAAATTGATGGCCATGTTCATCTTCATGTGTAACGGGTGGCTGGAGAGGAAATCCAGAAAACGTCCCGAAGCTATCGGTTTGCAATACCATTCCGTTCTGATGGATTGGTCCGGTAGACGAACAAGAACCATATCCAAATATGGTATGCGGTTGTTGGTTGGCCGGCTAAAAGAGAAAACTGCTCTCTTGCATCATTCGGCTGATTACCAACACCGCTTCGCATTAGAAAGGACAGAGATTCTGGACTGCCACCGACGACGATCGGCGCTTCCCGTGCTGGAGGTTTGCCACATCATCAACACAGACAAAGCGGTACAACTAAGGAAAACGAAAACAAACCATACAAATAGATTGACAAATACCAACCAACTTACACCCAACAGACAATTAGACCCACAAATGTTACCCACTTGACTAGAACGATACAAAATGACGGCTTAAAACCAAAGTGACTAGCGCAAAGAAAGTAGTGACCGATAGCTTTTCCGTTTTTTCGTTTTTCCTGTTTGATAGTAATTATGACTGTAGAATGTGTATTTAGACTCCGACAACTAATTGACGATTAATTATAGGTAAATTGATGCAAGATTTCGATCAAGTGACGATAATCACTGTTAATCACAGACCACCTGACAAAAAACGTTATTTTCTGTAAGTCACCAAACTTGTAAATTTTTAAACATCTTAAACTATGTAACAATTCTTTGTATATCCCTTGAAAAAGATGGAATACACCATTGAAACGTTGGGAGTAGAGGAAAAACATCTTTTTATTCGCTAAAAGACTGAAAGCCAATAAAATTTATTTACAAAACAGTCCACAAGTCGATAGCATTACTATATTTGTAAAGTACTGTAAAAGTTTGTAATCACTTCAGCAAGAACTGAAAGGCTTAGAAAATAATTTAATTACTTAGAAATGCACTGAATCACTTCAGACATGTTCGAAATCACATTGAAAGTACTGAATCGCTTCAGAAAAAGTCGGAATAACTTTTAAAACTGCTGAATCACTTCAGGAAAAATCGGAATTACTTCATAAAAGTATGGAAAATCACGCCCGATGGTATTGAAATATTCCAAAAAAATTGTAATCACTTCCGCAAGTACTGAATTACTTCGGAAAATACTAAATCACTCAAGAAAACTATGAATTAACTTTATAAAGTACTGAATCATTTCAGAGAAGCTCGGATAATATTGAATCACTTCATAAAATTTCGGATTCGGAAAATACTGAATCTTCCAGAATATTTGAATTCACTTCCATATGAACTGAATCATTGAGGAAAGAATTGAACAATTTTAGAAAAGTTTGGACTCATTTCGGATAGTATTGAATCACTTCACATAAGCTCGGAATAACTTTGGGTAGCAGTGACGTGACGGAATCGCTTCGAGAACTGCTGTACCAATTCATATAAGTTTGGAATCACTTTTGTAATAACTTAATCACCTAAAAAAGTTTGTAATCTCTTCAGAAAATATTTAATCGCTTCAGGAAAAAATCGGAATCACTTCGGGAAGCACAGAATCATTTGAAAAAAGGGGCCAAATCACTTCGGAAAGTACTGAAACACTTCAGAAAATCTCGGAATCAGTTCAAAAAGTAAGTAATTACTTTTTATATATATATATATATATATCTTTAAGGGCTGGTTCGTCTCTGGAAGTCAGTACTTTCCAAAGTGATTTAGAATTGTTCTGAAGTGAATCATTACTTCTTGAAGGGATTCCGAACATTTCTAGGATGATTCAGTTCTTTCCAAGGTGATTTACACTCCCGATCATATGTTTAAGGACACCCCCAAAAAAACATGACAATTTTTTTATGTTCATATCTCTGTCATGTTACGTCCAATTTTCGTTCTCTTTAGATCATTTGAAAGGTATTGAATGAAACTTTCCTCGTAGGCAAAGGTAGGTAGGTAGTTCAATATAATTTTCAAATTTTGTGTGCTAAAAGTTCACCCAAAGTTACAAAAAAATTTCAAAATTTACTCTGAAGAATCGTGACTGATTTTCTCAGAATTGGGTTGGCCAAATTTTGAAATAAAAGTAGTAGTAGAACACTTATGCTATACCATTCATACCATTCAAATAACCTTTGGAGATCGAAAATTGAACGTAAAATGAGAGATCATTGAACAAAACATATTTGCATGGTTTTTTGGGGGTGTCCTTAAACTTATGATCGGTAGTGTAGATTTGTTTAAGAAGTGATTTAGAACATTTCTGAAGTGAATCAGTACATTCGGAAGTGATTAGGAACATTTATGAAGTAAATCAGTACTTTTTCAAGTTCCAAAGGCGTATATTATATCTTCTCCAAGCGTATTTAGCAAGTTTTTCAGTTATGTCAACAATTGTTTTGGTGAAAATAAGCTTTTGGGGGTGATGCAATATTCGAATGAATGTTTTAACAGTTTTATATGTGAGCCCATACTTATGTTGTTACTGAAGGTAAATCCTCTCCAGAACTATTATGTTCAATGAGTAAAAGTGAATAACGAGGCAGTTAAATTTGGCTGTATTATCAAATGTTTCGAAATTCATTGGTGTAGTTTCATATCATATCATATTGTAGTCGAAATACGTATCTGTCATGGATACCAAAATTAATTAAGTGGAATTAAATGGAAGATAACCTTTTTTTGCTGTTTTATTTAAGCATTCCGCTAACAACCCAATTTCATTACTTCATACTTTCATATATTTTATTCTCATTTTTAAGTATTGCTTGATGCTTGATACGAGAATTTCAGAATTCCCTGATTTTCTTTCAGGTAGATTGAAATTCCCTGAGGGTTCCCGGATTTCCAGGTTTTTCAAGGTAGTAGACACCTTGCTTACTTACAAAGTTTGAAATGGGGAGGGAAGGGGGGTAGAGCATCCACAAGTGGCCTCCCCTAGGGTACATAAATGGGGGGGTGATGAATATGAACGAGTACCCGTATATTAGGCCACTCAAATTTACATCCCGTCCAGCAGAGGCATGGAAAACAAACTTCAATATGGAATTCCCAAAACGAAACAAAAACAACCAATACAATAATGTTACAACACAGCAGCTGTACTCACTTGATTCGGTTGTACACTAGCAGTTCGGCAATGTCCCTCCCCAGCCGGGAGTAGGTCGTTTCGACAAATACCAGCACCTTGGGATCGATTCGTAACCGCGCCTCCGAGCGATGGTCTGGCGCTGGGCTGGCTTCGATTGCCGTCTTTCCGTTCAACATCCGGCAGTGGATCAGTGGAGCAGGTCGGGTATCACGATGCATAAAGCTGCAGGAAAAAAGAGAAGAAGAAGGAAAAAAAAATACAATCACATATAATGAAGCACACATTAGAGTGCAACCGTGTGCATTTCCACAAGTCACAATGGGATAAACGACGACGGGGAAAAATCCTTTTCCAGCGAGAAAAGATAAACTTTTCGACCCTCCGCGTGTCGTTTGGATTCCCGCTCGTCTTCTACGATGAAAAGCTTTGCTTTGCTTTGTCAGCGATACGAATAGGATCTCGTTGTCCCGTTGATGAGAAGTACAGGCGGGATTAAGACACAATGGATTTCGGTCCGGAGGAGTTTGTCACGAACAAGGATTTGCTCGTTTCCAGCTAATTAAATGCTTTTCAGAGCAAATGGAGGGTTTTTGTTTTCAACATGCGATTGCAGCCGATGGGGGTGGGAATGCTGCTCTTCTGGTTTCAAACTCAGCTAACCATGCATTTCATAAGCTACAGCTAAGCTAATAATAAAATTCCAAAACCACCTTTCAGGACAAACGACAAATGATAAGACACAGTACAGGACAGGGACACACAAGATCTTCACTTCCTCCCGAGCAAGGGTAAATTAAATTCCTACCTGACATTAAATGCATGTTAGGAATAATTTACAGCTCATCGATCGCCAGCTGCAGCAGACCACAGACCAAGCTGAGGTGTCTCAGTTTCACAGTTTCTTGGTTCTTGAGGACTATGAGTCCACAGGTCGGTCGAACACACACACACACACACACACATTCCTTGTGCATCATGTCGTCTAATTGCATTTTATACGGTCACCACTTTCCCCCACTCCAGACTGGGGCCAAAAGCGGAAGTCTTGACCAACTCCGGTACGGCAGGCAAAACGATGGGCATCAGTTCCACCTCCCAGTTCCGTGTATCGGTTCGAAATGTACACGCATTCTAATAACCGAACGAACCGCTTCCGATGGAAGATGGTATCACGGACATAGCACATATTGCACTACCAGCCACCAGCAAGGCCTACGAGGAGAGGACATGCAGCGTATCGAGTGAGTGCTTGTTGCGTCGTTGTGGGTTTGGTTCAAGGTTCTCCGGTTTCAGTGGTCCGGAAGCTAGCCAGCGAACGGCGAGGACGACAACAACGATGATGCTGGTGATGGTTCAGTGCTGATGCACTGTCAACGGAAGCCGTAGCTGCAGCCTACCCTGTGTTAACAAAGTGCTGAGTACAGGTCGGTTCGTCGTTCGTTCGGGAGTATCAAACGAAATTCCATTGCATCTTGTTTCGGGGGTTTTTAATCAAAATTGATAGCTTAAGTGGAGTAAAGTGTGTGATAAATTTAATTAAAATTCGATACGTTTGCACTTTCGTGGAATGGGTGCACAGAATTCCCTGGCAGATTGCAGAGAGCAGATATGGTCTGTAGGTGATGATGTGATTTAAAGTTGGGCACAGTCGGATCGCAGAATCTGCTCAAATTTGATCTGTGGTGGCTATTGGTTCGATGCCATATTTAGAAAGACGACCATATCGACAAAATGGTGACAAAAAGGAAACTTATCAAAAGTCAATTATACCGCAGAATATTGCTTCTCTCCTATTGAAACTTCTCCTCTTAGCACTATAATCAGAAGAAAGCTCTTCAAAACTAAAAAAAAACTTTAAAACATTGCGTTCCAGAGTGCCAGTGCAGCGGTAAATTACGTCGGCACCGACTAAGACTATTTAAGTAGCTTACACACTTTTCGATAATTTGTTCAGCCAGCGGTCGTTCTAGAACTTCTTGTTGGTGCAGCCTTGATTATTGCATAATTAATAATGAGCAATCAGATGCATCGCGGACTTCATCACCGCTCTTTTTGCTAGCAAGAACTTTCAGCAATATGCACAGATAAAAAATCTGAATTTTAATTGTGATGTAAACATTCATTCACGTAAACTTGTATTTCATCTCACACAACCGAGCAACTTGCAAACAATGTTGTTTACAAAGATGGGCTTTTGCATACAATATTTGCTACTTTGCATGAAATGTGTCAGAAATTTACATGATATATAATGTAAACGTATATGATATGTGACGCTCCATTTATGTGCATTATATTGAACAGAAATTTACGCTACTTTTTCGAACTGTGTGGCCATGCTTTATCATAAAACGAACAGGGAGTTGCAGGCGTTGGTTTGCCTGGTTCGGCCGTGAAGGCAAAATCGGTGACGATAATTATGACTACGACTTCAGAACAGCTCGGAATCACTTTGGAAAATACTGAAGCATTCCGGAGAGTATGTAATGACGCTAGAACTTACTCACTTCCAAAAGATTGTAATCACTAATGATTGTACTGAATCACTTCAGAATTGTTCGGCACCCCATTAGAAGTACTGAGTCGCTTCAGAAAAAGTCGGAATAACTTTGAAAAGTACTGAATCACTTTAGAAAAATTCGGAATTACTTCGTAAAGTACTGAAACATTCCAACATGTTTCCAATCATCACCGCAAGTACTGAATCACTTCGGAAAATACTGAATCACTCTAAAAAAGTTTAAATAAACTGAATCATTTCAGACAAGCTCGGATAATATTGAATCACAGCGGCACCGGTGGTGTAGTGGTAAGCGTGATTACCTTTCACCCCAGTAGTCCTGGGTTCAATCCTAGTCGGCGCCGCCGGGATGTTCTGAGGCATAACATCTCTGATCACGCCTTCCTTCGGAAGGGAAGTAAAGCCTTTGGTCTCCGGTTCATGAGTTGATGGGTCGATAGGTAGGGTCCAGGTGTGGAAGCTGCGTCCCTGGCGTCGGTAGCATTGGTGCTCAGCACGGAAAACAAATCAAGGAAAAAAAAAAATTGCATCACTTCATATAATTTCAGACCCACATTGGAAAATACTGAATCTTTCCAGATAGGTTGAAATCACTTCCATAGGAACTGAATCATTTAGGAAAGAACTGCATAATTTTAGAAAAGTTTGGAATCATTTCCGAATGTATTGAATTACTTCATAAAAGCTCGGAATAACTTAAAGTAGCACAGACTCACTTTAGAAAGCTTCGGAATTTCTTCGGTAAGTACTGAACCAATTCATTTATGTTTTGAGTCACTTTTGTAGTAACTGAATCACTTCAAAAAAATGAAAGTGGAAAACCAGTGACGATAATTACGTGGGTTTCTTCGCATCCAGCAAAAGCTCTTGGGATTCTAGTTCGTTCAATACTTAGGTTCTTTTATTCATTGTTACAGTTACAGTTGTAAGTGCTTAGATTTGGATGTGTTGTCAAAATGCTTACAAGCTGCCAACTACCGCTGTAAACAACTGCTTGAAACTATGAAGCCGAATATATTTTGGTTGATTAGGATAGTCCTACAGATAGCCTTGCATCATATCAGGATTATAAGGAATTACAAATGAGCATGAGCAATGATGACCGTACAATTCTTAGTTACTACGCCGCGATTGACCAGTTAAAGCGAAATTCGCACGGTTTCCGATTAGCAATCCATTCTCCGTTTGTAAAATACAATGAATCAATATTATCAAGGTCAACAACGGCACCATCCACGTTTTTACGGTTATTAACGAGTCGAATGAATGCTTATTCGACATCCTTCACTGCTAGAGACCGAGTATACCTTAGCCTGATGTCTCTGTAAGCAAAAATGGTCACCATTAGATCACCTAACCCCAATATCACTGCAACCCGGGGGGCACGCAGTACCCAGGACCGATGCGTCGGAGTTCAAATAAATTCACAAATTTTAAACGTGATAAGTGCCAGGTAATCAGTTCAAGCAGCAACCGGGATATTTCTATCATTGATAGAATTGATGTAAATCAACAAAAAGGGATTGCATAATCGCTTAAAGGTTGAGCAATTCAATGAGTGACTAGTATTGTTGTGCTGGAAATTTTACTGACTTTCTCAGTCTTATGGGAATTCAAACGGTTTAATTTTCCATTGCCCAACGTTGCGGCATTTATTTATTTTGCCCTTTTCAATGATTATGGGATGGATTATGTCTCTGTAGTGACGGGTGGTGTACGCCAGGTAATACAAAAACGTCTACTAACAATGTCGCTCAAAGAAACATACTTGCATTTTACGGAAACCCATAAAGATATCAATATTAGCTTTAGCTCATTTGCAGCCTATCATTGGAATAATTCTCAATGTACAATTCATCCATTTGTCGTTTATTTTAATGATAATGGTACACTAAACCATTTAAGTTTTGTGGTTATTTCGGACATTTCAAAGCATGACACAGTAGCAGTTCAGTTGTTTATCTCAAAATTATTAGAATTTTTAAAGTCGCAAATAAAGTGTATTTTTATGTCAGATGGAGCAGCATCACAATACAAAAACATACAAAATTTTGCTATCCTTTGTGGATTTACAGTGACCGGCATAAAAAAAGATCCACCGGCTCACTTGTTAGATAAATCGGTTTTCTTTCCGAAGCACTTTTTAAAAGCTATATTATTGCTCGTTTTAAGCTTGTTCTAGTACCACTTGTTATAGTACGTGCAAGAGTTTCAATATACGAATCAGTTCAGGTCAACCACTAACGAAATTCAAACGCACCCCTTGTTTACGGTATGACATAAAAAAAGATCCACCTGTAGAAAAAAAATTTGCCGTGTAAATTCCGTTGACATACCCCTCACAATTCCTAATGTTGACATTTGTTTATTTACATTCATCGCAAATCTCTGCTGCAGCGCTGAGAAGTAAACGTATTGTGCGAAAGTAACGAGTTTTTGAAAGTTCAAATATGGGTGGAAAGAAAATCTCGTATCAAATTCGGAATCTAATCGTTCGTGACTTTGAGAAAAACGAATCTCAGCGCAAAATTGCCGAAAAATACTCTGTGAGTCGCGGTGCGGTTCAAAAGATAATTTTGAAGCACCAACGGGTTGGAAGCGTTGCAGATCGATCTGGACGAGGACTTAAACGTAAATCTGATTACCGAGAGGACTCCAGAATCAACCGGGAAATCAAAAAGGATCCGTTTGTTACCATCCG